ATCACCAGGAGCTGGCAGGGGTGGGATGGCAGCTCTTGGGGATCACCAGGAGCTGGCAGGGGTGGGATGGCAGCTCTTGGGGATATCTAGGAGCTGGCAGGGCTGGGATGGCAGCTCTTCGGGATCACCAGGAGCTGGCAGGGCTGGGATGGCAGCTCCCTGGGGGTACCAAGGGCTGGTGATGGACAGACTGACCTGTTTGACTGTGAACTGGAACCGTGTGTGATGGGGGGGCCTGGGACCATCCCTGGGGGCCCCGTGGGCCCCTCTGCAGAGCATTCCTGCTCACTCCCTGCCCGAGCAGTGCCGGGAACCCGGGAGGGAGAGCGGCTTCTCTCCATTCCTCAATACAGCTTTGGGTTTTTTTTAGTTAGTTTGTTTTTCTTCTCTCTCTTGTCTTCCTTGTACATGTTTGGGTTGGTTTTTTTTTTTTTTGTGTGTGTGTGTGTGCGTTCCACAGAGAATTAAGGTGAAATAAATCCTCAACCTATCCTGGAGCTGGCGTCATCCCTGGCCAGGCAGGAGAGATCTGGGGGGGAGTGGGATTGGCACGAGGCCCTAGGGTGCCGTTTTTAGGGGCAGCAGCTCTGGCTGAAGGGAAGGAGAACAAAGCTGCCACTTAGAAAGTAGGAAAGTTTATTTTAAAAACAAATCAAAAGCTCAATTCATAATTTAGGAGCATAAGTTATTCATCCAGCCGACAGCACACGGGGCCAACTGCGTCATCCCTGCCCAGCAGAGCCCTGGGAGCTGCCAGGAATAAATAGGAGCAGTGTGGGACAGGGGGGCAGAGCCGGCTCCTGGGCTTTGGGGAGTGGCTGCTGCAGGAGGCCAAACCAGGCACCCAGGGGGGGCTGTGGGCAGCCAGGCCAGGCTGAGCTCCTGTGGCTCAGCAGGAGAGGAGGGAGATGAGATTTGGTCCCCAAAACCATGCTGGGGTGGGGGGTGGAAGAAGCCCTGGGCTGGGGAGATGAGCTCTGGTGGCCTTGGAATGTGACTGGTCCCTGTGGGAGGCTCCTGGTCCCTCTGCCGGGGCAGGGGCAGAGGTGCCTCGGGCTCCCCAAGCCCACGAGCCAGGCGGGGCAGGAGGGAACAGGGGCTGTGCTGCAGTTTGGGCTCAGCAGGACTCAGGGCTGCAGCCCCTGGCCATTCCCACAAGGGGTTCCATGCCTGGGGTGCCTAAACCAGGCCTGGCTGTGTTCTCTGTTTGTTGTGGTTCTGCTCTGTGAGATGCAAAGACCTGGGGGATGAGGATGAGGAATAGAGAGGCTGAGGATGCTCCAGCCTTCCTGCCCCGTGCCAGAGGCAGGAGGGGGAGCTGGATCTGCTCTCCCAGGATGGTGACAGCCCTCAGGGAAGGAGGCAGTGCTGGCTCAGAGCAGCCCAGGGCCTGGCCAGCCCTCAGCCGCAGTTCAGTTCTTGCTGAAGCCCGTGGGGTTCTGCAGCTGCCACCGCCACAGGTCCTCACCTGGAACAGGGAGAAGGGAGGTGAGGGGGGACAGGGCCCGCAGTGCCCGCTGTGCCAGGGAGGGGATGCCCTTACACATCTTGTCCAGGCCAAAGGCAGCTTTCCAGCCCAGCTCCCGCTCGGCCAGCGCGGGGTCAGCGTAGCAGGAGGCCACGTCTCCCTCCCGCCGGGCCGTGATCTGGTACTTGATCTGCAGGGAGAGCAGCCCCGTGAGCTCCCAGAGGGGCTGAGGGAGCTGTGCCAGGGGGGATCAGGGGGTCTGTGGGAGCAGCTCCCCTGTGCCTGTGACGCTGCAGCTCTGCCCTCACCTCCCTCCCCGAGGCTTTCTCCATGGCCCGGACCATCTGCAGCACGGAGTAGCCGGTGCCTGTGCCCAGGTTGTAGATCTGGGAGGAGGAGAAAGGATAGGGATCAAGGGGAGAAGGGCCAGGCCCCCCTTTTGGGACCCCTACACCTCCCCAGGACTGGCAGCACCCCGAGGTTGGTACCTTGCAGCCACAGTTCTCCTTGAGCTTCTTGAGAGCAGCGATGTGGCCCTTGGCCAGATCCACGACGTGGATGTAATCCCTGACTCCTGTGGGGACACAGAGGCTGAGGGCAGGGCCCAGGGTGCAGCCAGGGCTTTGGAAATCCCAAATTCCACCCATCCCATGACGCACCCGTTCCATCGTCCGTCTTGTAGTCGTTCCCAAAGACGCTCAGGAATTCCCGGCGTCCCACTGCCACCTGCACAGAGGGACAGTCCCATGGGAGCCCCATCACCCTCTGTCCCCTCCCTGTCACCCCCCAAGGGCTGTGGGGGCGCTACCTGAGCCACGTAGGGCATGAGGTTGTTGGGGATCCCCTGAGGATCCTCTCCAATCATCCCCGACTCGTGGGCGCCGATGGGGTTGAAGTAGCGCAGGAGGACGGCGTTCCAGTCCTGGGGACACACGGACGGCACTGCCCGGTCACCCCCGTGGGGACACACCCGGGCTGCAGCCCCTCGGGGCCGCTCCTCACCCTCTCTGCTTTGCAGAGATCCCGGATCATCTCCTCGATGAAGAACTTGGATTTGCCGTAGGGGTTGGTGCAGCCCCCGACCGGGTGGTTCTCGTCCAGGGGGAGGTACTTGGGGTCCCCGTAGACGGTGGCGGAGCTGCTGAACACGATGTTCCTCACGCCGTGCGCCTTCATGGTCTGGGAGAGGGCAACGACCCAGCTCTGTGCCCTATGCCAGCCCTGCACAGGCGCTGTCAGGGCCCAGGACAGGGCAGAGGGAACAGCACAGGATCACTGCGGGCTCCTCTCACCTCCAGCAGCCGGATGGTCCCGGTGAGGTTCACTCTGTAATATTCCAGAGGCTTCTGCACTGACTCCCCCACGGCCTTCAGCCCCGCAAAGTGCATCACGGCCGAGAAGCGATGCTGCAGGGGAAGGCATCAGTGCCACGGCAGGAGGAACCGGCCACAACTCCCCCGGGAGCTCCGTCCAGCCGGCCCGGGGGGCTCCACGGCCTTTCCTCCCCGCTCCCGTGGCTCCCACCCCCGCCAGGGACCCCAGGGCACTGCAGCTCCTGCTCGCACCTTCCTGAAGAGCTCCTGGAGCGCGGCCTCGTCCGTGATGTCGAGCTCCTGGAAGAGCACGGGCCGGTGCGCGATCTCCTGCACCCGCCGGAGGCTCTCGGGGAGCTCCTCGGAGCCTGGGGGATGGAGGGGAGTGAGGGATGGCTGCAGTCGGGCCCAGCCCGGCCCCGCCTGGGGCTCCCCGCACCTCGGATGGCGTTGTGGAAGTTATCGATGACCACGGGGACGAATCCCGCCTGCAGCAGCTCCAGCACGCAGTGGCTGCCGATGTAGCCGGCGCCGCCCGTCACCAGGATCTTCTCTGCCATGGTTCCCTGCGGGGAAAGCCCCGGACCCTTCAGCTGGGGCTCAGCCCGGCCCAGGCACGGCAGCCCGGCCGCCGGCCCTGCCCCGAGGGACGGGCGGGGCGCTCCCGGTCACACCTCCCGGACACGGAGCTGCCACATCCCGGACACGAGCCCCGGCTCTTCCTGGTAAACCCAGCCGGGCTCCTGGCTTCACCCACATCCCTCAGGGCAGGAGTTCTCACTATTAATTAAGTAATTATTGACTGATTGAGGTGGTCTCCGCAGGGGTATCAGCTCTGCCCTTCAGCCATTCCCTGTTTTCCCCCAGCATCCGTTCCCGGTGCTGGCCCCGCTCCCCGCAGGAGCGCGGACTTTGGGACACCCAAAGGGCAGCGATTGCTGCGGGACCGTCCCTGGCTCGGGCAGCACCGAGGGAAGGAGCCGAGCTGGGAAATTCCTTCCCTCCAGGAGCTGCGGAGCCCCCCAAACCACAGCCCCCAGCTGGGAGAGGACGGGGAAGGCGAAACAAGGCGGATTTCAGCAGGGCGGGAGGGAGCGGAGGGGTCCCGGGGGGACAGAGCGTACCCGGGGACCGGAATTACTCCAGAGCCCCGGGGCTTTGGGCTCTCCCCACCAAAGGAAGCAGGGGAGGGCAGCACACCCGTCCCCCTGCCCGTTCCTGCCCGTTCTCCCCTCCGCCTCCCCCCGGTCT